AGTCATATATCTCAATGTCGAGATGATCAATCAAAGGGTTTTTCAACATTAAAACTACCTTTTCCGATGGATTTTTGAGGAGCATCTGTAGTTCTACATAATAAGGTAGCAAACTTATATAAACTTTTTCCTTTATAAAATGATGGGGAAACCGAAAATATTAGTTCGAAGACTGGTAATTCATTTGAGTCTTCAGCCATTTCCTTGTTCTATTCCACAAATTTTTTCTTTCCCAAAGAAACAGATATTTGCTTAAGTAATTCCATGAAGTCATGTATACATGTTATACAAAAAAAAACATACTTTGCCCGTATCATGCTACAATAAACTTATTGGGTGCGGTTTGTATAGAGTTGAGGCTCTATACAATCAAAGTAAGGTGCACCTTTAAATAATGTCAAGAAATGTGATTTCAAAATTAGAAATCTTTACGATAGCCTTTAAAAAAAAATCATCTTTAATTATAAATTTTAAAGCTTCAAAACTAATGTAGATCAAGCACATGTATGAAAAGTCGAAAATCTTGAAAATTGACAGTCCGAAAATGTGTACAAGATGCACTATTTCCAAAACTTGAAATCTATTTTTTTCTCATGTTCATGCATCTTGACGTCGAGATGATCAATTTGACGATATTTGGATATCAAAACAACCTCTTCTAATGAAATTTTCGATGTGGGCTCTAATTTGATTGTTTAGGGCCTTGGCTCTATATAAACTTTTTCCAAACTTATTTGTGAGGGACTTGACTGCATGATACAAAAAATGCACTAATATACTGCAATGTTCAAAAGATTCGAGCTATAGATCAAACCGGTGTTTAAAAATCAGCAACTTAGATTGGGTGTCGCCTATCTCATTCCGGATTGTGTAAAAAAAAGGGATTCAGATGATTCTCTACCTAAAATCGACTTAATGATGAGTCACCAAATGATGTCATGGATCGCCCGATATGACTCGTCAATAACTCTATTAAAAAATTGATTTTTACACACCCCACCACCTGGCCCACGAATTAAATCCTCAACTGCTTGCATCAGCATGCATAAAGCCCAATTACACGTAGCCCTCAACACGAATACTTATCCTCCTGGGTTGGCCCTTCCCACATCCCTTTGATGTGGGACAATTCATTCAATGAACTTCCAAGAATAACTCCCCATCGATTCAGTGTATTATTCTTCCCATCCCACATCGGCGAATCGGGGCATAACCAAGGGACAATTCATTCAATAAACTTTCAATAATGATATTATTAGATATACTATTAGGTGTAATATATTACATGGGTGTAGTGGTGTACTATTAGGGATGCACGCATCATGGAAAAGAAGGTGTACGTCCAATGGTGGCAATTAAATTATACGACAAAAAATATTAAAAGTAATAATTGGGTGCCCACCACCTCTATCTTTCACAAAAAAATTTCAATTTATTTACTAAAAATAAGCATAAAACTCTATTAGGCTATTATCTCATAGGATTATTTCATTATACGATTAACAATTAATTAATTAGTTAATTGAGATTAAAAAATTAATACTAGCTCATAGGATATTAAAAAAAACAAAAAACAAAAAAATGATACTAATACTAGTTTATGGACTATTAAAAAATATTAGTTTAGAGGATATTTTAAGAGAGAGAAATAACACTAACTCATACCACTTTAGAATTTATTTCAAGTTGTTTTATCAATTATCTCATATTGCAACTATGAATTCTCTTTAATTTATTGATAACCAAATATTGCATTCTATTTGTTACTTTATTTATATTATAAATTTTGTATGTATTGTTTTTTCTTATAATTGCAAATAAGATTTTTAAAATTAGATGATATTATAAGACATTTATATTTTTATTTGTATAGTAAAATAATTATAAAATATAAAGTTATAAACCAACAACTTCAATTTCAATATATATTATTATAGTTAGTTAGGTTGTAATAATTTTTTATGAGTAAAAAGAAAAAATAAATATTTGATACTTTGATGTGATATTAATTTATGTGAAAAATTAATTTTTTTAATCTTATAATATGGAAGTTTTTTTTTAATATTTTTAAATTATTTTGATATAATATTATAATATTATATTACAAGTAATAATTACATAGACATCCAGACATTAAAAAATCTTAGTATGTACATATTTTTACAAAATAATGAAAGTACATAATGCATCACTCTTAATTTCTTTTAGAAACTAAAAGAACACTGTTTTTAGAGATTTATAGTGATGTTTTAAAAAAAAATTAAGAGATAAAAAAGAGAAAAATTATTAAAAATAATAATTGGTTGATATGACCCACCACCCCTATCCTTCACCAAATATACTTAAATTTACATATCAAAAAAAAAAGAAGACTAATACCATTTGACTATTAGCTAATTGTGATTAAAAAAAATAGTACTAGTTCATAGGATATTGAAAAAAGCAAAAAATAATACTAATACTGATTTATTGAACATTAAAAAAAGGAAAAATTACACATATATCTGTTATATTCTACATTATGAAGGATGTACCGAATAGTTTCCGTTATTACATGTATGTTCGTTTTTTACCTTTCATAATACAAATTTTAAAAAAAACGACTTTACCCATTTTCGGGTGTTGAACAATCGAATTGAAGGGTTTTTCAGATGTTCAACATCCGAATTCAATGTATTTTCGGTTAAACAATATCAATCACATTTCATAAAGCTTGCATTGCCAATATCCGAAAATGTCACATTTTTTAGATGTTGGGCATTCGAAATTGTGATTGTGAAATTCCAGAAACTTTAAGTGGGTAAAGTCGTTTTTTAAAAAAAATTGAATTATAACCGACATGTAATAACGAAAACTATTTGGTACATCCGTAATAACGCAAAGTATAACAAATATGTATGTAATTTTCTCTAAAAAAATACTACTAATTTATGTGATATTTTAAGAGAGAAAAATAACACTAGCTCATACCACTTTGGAATTTATTTCAAGTTGCTTTATCAATTATCCACATTGTAAATATGATTTTTTTTTTCTTAATTTTATTAAAATATGATTACAAATTTATGTTATTAAATTCTATATTTCTATCAACACTAATTATTATACATTAGATTTATTTATTTGTGAGGGACATACCATTGTTTTTTTAATCACGTTTATTATAATATTGTAATTAATAATTATACGGATTATAATGATAATCAAACATTATATTTTATTTATTAATTTATTTACATTATAAATTATGCAATGTATTATTTTTGTTATAGTTGTAAATTAGATTTTTTAAAGTAGATGATATTATAAGACAAATTTCAAATTTGTTCTTATTTGTATAGTAAATTGATGATAAAAATAATAAAATAGAAATCAATAATTCTAATTCTAATGTATAATATTGTATTTATTTAGATTTTAATAAATATTTGATGAAAATCTTCATATAGGGAAAGAACATCTCAATATTCATATATTGATGCAAAAAAATAAAAGTTATTAATATAGTATCATAATTTTTAATAATTATTTTGAATTTTTTTAAAAGCCGAATCAAACTGATTCCTAATCCGAAACGCCGATTTGTTGATTCGCCGATTCGAATGAATTTTGGGGGTGTCCACCGATCTGTTTTTTAAACCATTGGATCAACGCGATCGCCCGACCACTTCAAGTTGGTGACTTTGCTGGGTCCTACTCGGTTAAACTAAAAGAAAAACCAAAAAAAAAAGTAAGCAAAATTTAAAAAATTTAAGAAGATTTAGGAGCCTCATATCATTTCTATCCAAGACAGTTTTATAGATCACTTTTTAAATATATTCACATTGGGAAATGATCATGTGTATTTTAGACACATGGGTGAGTGAATTTTGCCCAGATCGTCAAATCAACACCAAATCTGGAGGTGCCGTCGAGGCCTTACCAATTATGCCATCGAAGCCTTACCAATTATCCAAAATATCCAAAGAGTGAGACGTGATATTTTCCAGTTTGTTCCTCTCTCAATTTAGTATATTGAGAAAATTATCTAAAATATCCAAAAAGTGAGAATTCCTCTCTCAATTATCCAAAATATCCAAAAAGTGAGACGTGATATTTTCCAGTTTGTTCCTCTCTCAATTTAGCATTCTAGTTTGTTCCTCTCTCAATTTAGCATGTTGAGAAAGGAACACACATATTTGATCTCAAGTTAGAAGACCATCCCTGAGATAAATTTTAGATTTAAAATTTAATTATTTTAAAAATTCATTCATTTTAAATCTTTGAATGTTTAGATTCCTCTTTTTTTATATTCATAATCAGAGGTGGTCGAGATTATCAAGATTTTAGATATAAATCCTTCTTTAAGATGGATTTTTGGAAGGAAGAGCATTTTAAATAGGACAATTTAAAAAAATGGAGAGATTTACAATAAAGCACCTTAACATTGTAGACAGATGAATTAATGGCACATATTATGTGATCAAAACAAAACAACATTACTCCCACCATGTAATACACAAATCTCAATCAGTTAAAGAACTAGAAACCAGTGTATACAAGGAAGCGTATGAATATGAAGCCAGTATTGAAATATTTCTTTTCTTTTTGAAATGTTTCTTGAACAAACACCCAATTACTTTTTGAAATGTTTATTGAACAAACGCCCAATTACTATTCCAATTGTGTATCTACATGAACAAATCCTCTGAAACCCACTTTTAAACCAAATTCATCTACAGTAACTAAACCTTTTTCTCCTTCATCATCATCATTCGTCGTCTTCTTTTGTGGTTCTTTTGTGTTTAGAAAGGCGGGCAATCCGCGACTTGGATGCCAGGAGCAGTAGGGCAATGTGCCAGAGGGCAATGGTCATCCAAATCGAGCCCCCACCAATTCAGCCCATTAATGTCATTAATCTGTAGAGTGAAGTAGCATAAAACAGCCATAAACGCAACTCCGGCGTCTAATCCAGCCGATAGTACATAGGTATGCCGTGCCCACCAACCTTTGTACCTCTTGTAAATAAGGAAATTAAAGATATATCCAACAATTCCCCAGCAAATGAAATTAACAGCCCTTGCAGGAGGCATATTACCAGTGGCTCCAATGATGAGTGGCATGTTAATTAGACTAATCCACTTCTTATTAGGGAACTTCTTAGACAGAATCCATACAGGCACTGGGGCCAAGAAGCCAATGAGAAAGAAGAGGTTTTGGAGTTGGTAAAGGCCTTTGGAACCGAACATTCGGAGGGGACCGACAACACCCCATATGATAGATGCATTGTAGAAGACGTCGTCCCCAGGGCAGGTCCAGGGGCTGCCGTCAGGAAGTTGGGAGCGGTCACAGATGTGCGGGACGGATTCAAGGAGCCACCACGACGTGCCAAAATAGATCGAAGTGGAAAGGACGGTGCCCACAAGCTGAAAGAATATTGAGATGAGAGGTTAGAATTCTAGCAGATGTGAGAATTATTATGGTGGTAGTGGTAATTGTGATTTGGGGGGGGTGGGGGTGGGGGACGGGGGGAGATATTAGATCTCAAAGAGTAATATGGCAAGAATACATACAGTTATACTTGCTAGAAAGAAGCTGTAAATATTATTGTAGCAGGAGTCCTGTTAGACTTGGGGCGAGTAACTCGCAAAACTCTTAAAGAAAGTTTAAAATACAAAAAATTGGAAAACACAATATAATAGTTATAATTATGTTTTTAGATTATTTTGATAGTTTTTTAGAACATCTGGGAACTTTCATATTTATCTTTTTTTTAAAAAAAATTGAAATATTCTAAATTTTAAAAAATCTTATCTTTTATATATTTTATCTAATTTCATCTTAGTATGATTTCTATTACCTCTTTCAAAGATCGAGTACCCTGATCAAGGAGAGTTAAAAAAACGTTGATGGAGAAGAAGGTTCATTGTATATGTGTATACGAGAGATAGAGAGTGTGTGTGTACCTGAGCCACAAACATAGATCTTGGGGGAATCTTCATGTAGTGCCCCAGCTTGAAATCTTGCAAAAACATGATGGCTTGAGACATGCTAATGTAACCATATGTCTTGAAAGACACATTGGCCAAAGGCTTGCCCGGATAAATGTACCCAATAATCAGCTCTGTTATCACATTCAGCCCTGGTTGCTGCAAAATTTTCACAAAAGCACGTCAAGATGAATTGAAATACAAAGAATTAAGCATTCAAGATATATCTTCATTACTAAGTACTCGCAGGTTACAATGGGTTTTCCTTTATGATGGAGAATGAAAGGCTGTCAAGGGCAATCCAACTGTAGGAATTTTAGGTGATTCTAGTTCAAATCGTTATTAAATCACTGGTTGAAAAGGTTATTGGGTGATTTTGAAAGACTGGATAGCTTAGGGTGTGTCATAAAGTTCGAGAAACTCTTTTTTTGATATTTGATTCAAGTCAATGACACAAGTACCCGATATAAAATTTGATGGGCAAGAGCGATTGTGACCTCCTTGTACCAAAAGTAAATAATCTATTTGTATACTTTTGATATAAGGACGTTACAATCATACATGCCCATCAAATTTGAAATCGTGTGGTTATGAGTGTCTCATTGAGTAGGCTTGAAATTCAAAAGAAAACTTTCTAAAACCCTATATATACCCAAGCCATCCAATTTGACGAAATTCAAAAGAAAAAACTTTCTAAAACTTTGTGTAACTCAAACCATCCAATTTGACATCTAATGGCCAAGAGCAATTGTGACCTCATGAGAGGTTATAACTATATTCACTATCTACATAATGGGTATTTTGGGGGTTAAGGGGGGAGACTGAGAGGTCATTGTCTTCAGAGAAGGCAAGTAAGGAGGCATAGCCATATTTGATATCTACATAATGTGTTGGAGAGAGAGAGATCATTGTGTTTAGAGAATGCAAGTAAGGAGGTATAGTCATATTTGGATATCTACATAATATGTTAGGGGGAGAGAGAGTTTGAGAGAGAGAGAGATGGTTTCTAACCATGTTAGTAGTAGCTTGGATGATACCAATGGGAAGGGTGAAAAACAAGGCTAAGCCACAAGCCATGAACACACCCCAATATGGCAACTGCAATTGCCCTCCAAATCCTTCACAGCAAGAGATAGCCAACACAATCATGGCCACCAGGATGATGTAAAACCAGTACTGAGGCACCTCCTTGTAATTCTTCTTCATGATCCTTGTGTGCACATCACCTTTTTGATTCCTGAATGTTGCCCTAAAATGACCCCATATATTCCTGCATATTTTAGAGGCAATTTCAAATAAGTTTCATTCCACTGTACGTTAGCTGGAATTGGAATCTCAAACATTGTATTATAACCCATTACACAACTCTATTTTTTTCTTTTTTTGCTTAAAAGTTTGTTCTATTTTAGATGGGCTACAATTTTAGGTATGATTTTACAAACTTAGGTGGATTTTGGGGGAAAAGCAGGCTTAGACCTATATTTCAATGAACTTTACCATAATAAAGTGCTATTTAGCATTAATAAATCCATTGATTTTGCTAGGTGTAAATCTTAAGCAGGGTGCAAATCCAAATGAACATGGACTTGACTGGATTTAGGTCTGTCAAACCGGGGATAACATGCATACACACGTCCAAGTCAGATCGGTTTGATCTAAACCCACATCATAGACACACACATTTGTCAGATCGTACCCGCATCCAATGTGGGTAGGTCTAGGCTGCAAATGGACTTGGAGCTTATCAGTTCCAAGGTCTAGGCTGCAAATGGACTTGGAGCTTATCAGTTCCAATTTTATTGGACCCGGACCTGACCCACCAAGTCAGTGTCCAAGGCCGGGTGAAACCATTTAACCTTTGAGAAAATCCTTATCTTTTGAACATCAAGTGGTAGCTAATCGTTTCTCCTAGAATGAAATATAAAAGAATTTTTAGTGAGTATGAAGGTTAAAACATAAATATGTTCATTAGTGTTAAGGTTGCAAAAAACCATTAAGAGAGAGAGGGCACTCACTTTCCATGGAAGAGGGCCACATGCGACACAGTGGCGGCAAGAGTTGCAAAGCCGATGCCATAAGCAAAGACAAAGAAGATGCTAAGGTGCACCTTGCTGTATCCCTGATATCCAACCTCATTAAAGGAGAATGTGGCATCATCCAACACTCTTGAAATGTTGTAGGGCTGCCCCACACCATCAAAAACATGGGAGGAGAATATAGGGAACCTTTTTGCTTGAAAAGAGTTGGTCCAATATGTTATAGGAAGCACCACATACATGGTAAGGAAGAAACCAAACATTATGTTAGCTATAGCAAAGCCTGGAGTAGCAAGAGGGCTTCCAAGAAAACTGGCGACAGCGGACCAATCGAGAGCGAAGGAGCCAATCCCGAGGCCGTAGAGGCCAGAGCCAATTTGTTGAGCCGTTACTGAGTCTTTCCAAATCCAGCAGACAAAAGAGAGGGATGTGATGGAGGGGAAGAAGTAGTTGGGGACAACGTAGTAGGAGAAGCTGGTGAGGAAGACAGCTAAGAAGAACTGGAGGCGAGTCATGCTGCCCTTCGATCGAACCTCCTTCTCATGTAGTGCCCTGTGGAGAGAGGGGGGAGTGCAGTATAGTGATCTTAAGGATTTCCATCAATTGAAATGGTGACTTTAGAATTCAGTACTCTAAAATTATTTACTTTACAATATCCTCACAATATATATATTATAATATATATATATAGAGAGAGAGAAAGAAAAGGGAGAGAGATACCTGAAAAGGGAAACTTGAACCAGGTTTGCTGGCCACCACATGTACGGGGAATCAACAAGGAACTTCCTAAACACACCGGCCCATCCATATCCGAGCATCTATACATTGAAAGTTAAAATGGATTAAAGAGAGAAAACTATTGAAATAAACAGAATTGTTAGTGACTGAAAACTAGCATTGAAAGAATCATGAATAATGTTAAAAAAAATGGATAAATATGCAAAGTTGCAAACACAGTTTACCTCTCATGCAAGAAGTCCACAATCATTGTCATTCATCGTGTTTAAAATCTAATAAAAATTTATTCAAACTTTATGACACAACTCTAGCTTCTCAATTTCACATCTGACGATTAAAGATGGTTGTAATAGTGTTTTATCAAAAGAAAATAATCATAATGTGCAACATCCGTTTTAAAAGAATGCCAATCCTAATTCTCTTAAATCTTACCACCATTCTCAAACATAAGAAAGATCATACTTCCTAAAAAAGTACAAGAATGCCTTTTTTAAAATGAGAGAATTTCCTCAAAAAAAAAACTAAAATCCTGTTATGCCATACTTGAAATGATCAAAACACCCTAAAGGCACTTTTTCCTCAAATGACCAAAATACCCTTAAACACTACCTGAGTTGTCTGGGAGAGGAGCAACGCAGCGAAAGGGTTGAGTTGCCTGTGATAGAAGGCTTTAACGATCGTTATAATGTTCACAGCATACACCGAGTTAGAGCCAGAGTTGGCGAAGATGGTAATGAGCACGTGCTCCTTCAAGTTGAAGGGCCCCGGATTCATCGAGAATTTCCATTTTGTTCCCGGGATCGTGATGGAATTTGTCGGGAGAGTCTTGGCCATGAGTTTCCCAAGTGGTAGGGTCACAATTTGGGCAGCCACCGCAGGTACATAGAGGGAATTTTGGCGATAGCCAAAGAACTGGTTGAGAAAGGCAAGGACAGAACATGTGATGATGCCTAGAACCCATGTCCGAAAAGTTAGGACCGGCAACGTGGGGTCATCAGTGATCGGGACTGTTAATCTCACTTGCTCAATAGGATTGTCATTGATCTCCTCAGTTTCATCATCTACAATTGATCAAAGACAGATAGTTAATATACAATTATTACTTGTTTAACAAGACCTCAAATAGTTGGGATGAGACTTAGATGATGATAAACTAAAAACTCAATTAACTTCTATTCAAGGGGACTAATCCCAGCAACCATAAAGCAAATTGAGATGAGGGTTTGGACTAAAAAATGTAGTGTGAGACTCAAACTCAACTCAAAAATTAAAATATCAATGTATTTAATTATATTAAAATCTATTTCATAATCGGTCCGTCAATTTGATTCCTGGTCTAATTGTCCATATTGGATCAAGGATACAAACAATGTTTCCATTTTTTTAATGGTAATAATGTTTTAGAAAATGCGGGGTTGGGAGTTAGTAGGGGCGTTTTTGGTTCCCAAAATAAATCGGGCAATGGGCGATTCTGTCAGGGTAATGAGGCCAGACATTTTATTTTTTATTAAATTTTTAAATTTTTTATTTTATTTGCAATTTTTTTTATCAGCCGATTCTCTGATCTGCACCAATTTCTAAGATGTTGATTCACCCGGTAGATCCATAGTTTTAAACATCGGATAAAAAGATGGATTCAATTTGACTGCAAGTTTTTAAAACATCCCCCGACTAACTCTTAAAACATTCGAGTCGCTAGGGCGAGTCCCTAAATTAAAAGTTTTTTTACTGTTTTCCAAAATAAAAAGCGGCCTTAGCCAATTTTCATATAAATTGGAAATAAGTTTTAAAATGGTCTTAAATAACTCGGTCCTAGCCAATTTTCACATAAATTGAAAATAAGATTTAAAATATTATTAAATAAATGGGCCCTCCGTCTTAAGTCCTAACAATGTAAAACTTTGTCTTATCTTTTCATGAATCCTAACCTATAGAATAACCAAATAAGATATTGTAGCTCACTTCAAATAGTTGGGATAAAGCTTGGATGATGATTTAAAATATTATTAAATTAGATTTAAAGCAATTATAAATAAGATTTAAAATGATTTTGAATCCAAATCAATAAAAATATTGTTGAGATTTAATCAGTTTTGCAAACTTTATTTGAAGCTTAAAATTTAGCGAGATTTTTTCAAATTTGATCTATTCCTTCAAACACATTTAATCTAATCTATTGTGCCTAACTGCAATATTATTGAGATTTAGTCAGTTTTGACAACGTTATTTTAAGCTTAAAATTTAACCGGATTTTTTCAAATTTGATCTATTCATTCAAACAGATTTAATCTATTCTATGCATAACTGCATGATGATAAGTGATGCGTTAACAATAAAAAAAAGGGGGGAATTTCTTTCTAAATATTTGCCGAAATCTTAAATATTTAATCAACAAGAAACAATAACAAAAAACCTGGAAAAAAAAACAAAAGGATAAGAACCAGCACTTGTCATCATGCATATAAGAAAGAGTTGTTACAGAAATTATCTCACTAAAGATAGGACCGTCCCATTCCATAATACAGTAGCATTTTTAAAAATGAAAAAAAAAAAATTTATAAATAAAAATAGTGATTTACATAGTATTTTAAAATTTTAGGTAAAATACAATATGCTACTTATATGCAAAAATCACAAAATAGGTTGGTCAACTTGTTTTTTATTTTTTCTAAAATTTTAACCCAAATTTTAATTTCTTTTTTTTAGGTGTTTTTTTTTTAGCTTTTTAGTTAGTAGGTCTTAAAGCTTGGGGCACTACCCTATTAATAAAAAAACCTCAAAATTCGGGTTGAACGAGTGATAATTTTGAAAAAAATATTACGAACAGTATTTTACATAAAACAAAAATTTTATGAATCCGTATGTAAATTACTCCTAATGAAAATAATATTATTTTTCGTGGAGATTGAGAACATTATTGAAGCATTCAATAGGGAAAGATAAAACAGACAAGGAAGAAAAGGCTGCAAAATTAACTGGGACATACAGCCAAAATTGTCATAAGTTCACATTTATGCATATACTTTCACAAGTTGCAGGAATTCTTGCGTAAAATGCAAACCTTTTCCCAATGTCACGTTCAACATGAAATCATAAAATAATCTCTCTCTCTAGGCCCAGAGGCCCATGGGGGCATGCAAGAAGAGTGGTTTGAGCTTTAATGGCTTAGAGAGAGAAAATGTTTGTATGGCTCATAGAGAGAGAGCTGCATAGAGAGAAAAAGAAGGCGAGTTTGTATGGCTCTTAGAGAGAGAATGTGAGTTTGTATGGCTCTTAGAGGGAGAGAGGTGCTTAGAGAGAGAAAGAAGGCGAGTTTGTATGGCTCTTAGAGAGAGAATGTGAGTTTGTATGGCTCTTAGAGGGAGAAAGGTGCCTAGAGAGAGAAAGAAGGCGAGTTTGTATGGCTCTTGGAGAGAGAATGCGAGTTTGTATGGCTCTTGGAGAGAGAATGTGAGTTTGTACGGCTCTTAGAGGGAGAGAGGTGCTTAGAGAGAGAAAGAAGGCGAGTTTGTATGGCTCTTTGAGAGAGATAAAAAGCGATCTTGCATGACCCATAGAGAGAGAAAGTTGTCAAATGGTTGGCAAAGAACTGGACCTGATTCCTGAACCCGTATAGGATGGAACCATATTGGATTTGGAAAATAAACAAAAAAGGAAAACAAATGAGCGAATTTCGTCCAAAAAATCAGATATTTCATGCATACTAATCCATTCCAAACAAGAAGCATATAATAGTCTCAAGGAAAGTGTTTAGAACCCTAATTTTGAAGACTAATTATATTTTGAAGATTAATTAGAAAGTATATTAGAAAATTTCCCGTTGAAAAGAAAAATTAAAGGAAAACATTTGATGTTTGAGGATTTTACATCCTTTAAAAAAATTTATTTGTGAAAAACGTTTTCCTTCACAGGAAATACCCTAATTGTGAACACTAAGCTTATCTTGAAGAACTAAATATCAAGATAAATAATCCTTTAAAAAAAATTATTAATGAAAAGCATTATCCTTCATAGGAAATACCTTGATTGTGGACACCAAGCTTATCATGAAGAACAAAATATCAAGATAGATAAAGTTTGTAATAAAAAGGAAATGTACCCATAATAAAGTTACAAACAAAAAAGGAAACGCACCAATAGTACCAAAGTTCTTAGCCCAAAAAACACCATGCTTTTTTAGCAGTTTCTCCACGCATGAATACTATAGAAAGTCCAACCTATGAAGATTAATTGAAAAAAAATAAAAAAATAGGAATAAAAAAGTAATATCGTACAAGGGAGAAGAAAAGAAAGAAATTTTATGCAAAAAGAGAGAGAATGAGCAAATACAGATTTGGAGAATGAAGAAAATAAATAATATATATATATATAGAAAGAGAGAGAGAGAGAAAAAAAAAAAACTGAAAAAACCAAAATAGTAAAACACATTCATAAAAACTAGAACTCTAAGAAATTGCAGAAGCAAGAAAAGAAACCAAAGTTTGATTATTGATTCAAAAGTTATCTTCAAGACCAATGATCTTAATCAATAACCCAAATCCACAGGAGGAGAAAAAAATAAAAATTTAAAATTGTGTTCATTATTTAATAATTTAGAAAATAGCCATGATTAGTATCAGAATAAATAAAATAAAATAAAAAATAAAAACTGGTCTAATAGTTTCATACTGGAAATTGTCAATGATGCAATCCATTCGTCTAAAACCATAAGATGAATAAAAGGAGGAAAAGCACACACACATAAAAAACAGCTTTTAATAAGAAAAGGCCGCAATAGACTACAGAAAACATATTGTTCAATCCATTGAAGACTAGATCCACAACACCGATTGCTCAAACCAGCGAAAAAAAATAGCAAAAACAAAACCCAATAAAATAAACGAAAATAAAGTGCAGATTTTCAACATGAAAAGGCAGAAAAATCTATTAAAAAAAGGAGAAATAAAAGAAAAGAATAAAGAATCACACCTTTTTTGAGATCCTTGACACTGTTGGGATCGGTAGAATCTGCCATCTCAAAAAGGTGCCGATTCCTCTTCTCCCAGTTCTTGGGTCGCCTCCTATTTATTGATATCCTCCTTCAATATCATTCAATTTTTTTCCTTTTTTTGGACTCCAATTTTTGCTTTTCCTTTTTCCCTAATTATTTGGAGCAGAAAAACGACATTAAATAAATACCAACTAAGGACTCTTCTCTCTCTTTCTCTTTCTCTTTCTCTCTCTATAATATGACTCTCCTCTCTCTTTCTCTCACTCTCTCTCTATAATATTAGATGCCATTTTTAAACCGGTCTTCCCGCCAAGAAAAGAGGAAGAGAATGGTTTGAGATAGAAACAATGGGCTTAGTTTCTAAAAAAAAGAAAAGACCCCGCTAAATCTGGAGGTTCCCCCTGGCGGGTGTGTCCATCTAGAGAGAGAAAATGTATGCGGCCGCGTTATGGAGAGAGAGAGGAAGAGAGATGAACAGATTGTAGTTGCCAAAAATAAGGGGAAAATATGAACATGTATCCGGCACTGGTCCTAGAGAGCGGCTGAAAAAAGGAGTCCTTACTGAGAGAAAGAGGGTACATACAAGTTGCCATTTTGAGGGTGTTTTAGAGAGAGAAAGTGTATCTGCCCCGTTATGGGGTTTCGTAGAGAGAGAGAGAGAAAGCTGTGTAACTTAGAGAGAGAGAGAGTGTGTGTGTGTTTGTGGTCAGCTTTTTATAATGACAGCCCAAGTGGTGCTGTCTTCTTTCTTGTGATATTTGCTATGTGCGCTGGCTTTCTACTGTGATTCATTATTTATTAAAGCTTTGGATAAATTTAGCTGCAGTTTTTGGAGGTGGCTTGAAATGTGGCAACCGTGCATCAAAAGCTTTGGATAAATTTAGCAGCGGGGCTTGAAATGTGACAACCGTGCAGCAAACGGTCACTTGATTAGAGGTATTTTAATCAATTTATTTCGTATACATGAATTGTAGGGATATTTTATTTTCATGAGTTGAAGTCCTTATTTCAAAACCTGTTGATTTTCAGTTCCCGATTAGCAACATTAATGGGAATCAACAAGAGGTCGAGTATGGTATGGATCCTAGGCTCATTTCCCCACTAAAAGCTTCCCATAAAGATTTTTTATTTTTTTTTCTTTTAAGCTCATCTAATGGTCCCTTTAAAGCACTAGCCACAAATCCGTATTTAAATTTTTTTATTTCACTTATTTTAAATCTTTTTCCTAGATCAATGAATCGTAGCAACCTAGACCCAAACCAGATCACCAATCCAACAACGTAACATGGATATGTGGGTCAACGATCTGTCCTAACGAGCTCGTTTTTAAAAGACTGTTTGAAATCATTACTATGGGACTGACTAGGAACAATGCTTTGGTTGGTATAGTATAAAGTTGAAATTTAAAATTAGTGTTGGTCAAAACTATTCAAAAGTCAGGTTTAACTAGTTTTGTTTGGTCATACGATTTTGACAAGTTCAATTGGTTAAACAAAATTGAGCAAATTTTTATTTTATTTTATATTTTTTATAAACTAACCAATTCGACTCATAATTAGACTGGTTTTGACTGGACTAGAACGCTTATCAAGTTCGATCCTGTGACAATTAGGAGGCGAGGTTTACATGCGCCAAACGACATTCCTATTCTAGTGATTTTACCGTCAAAGCGATACTGCATCCAAAATTAGACATGTCAATCATGTCGACCACGAACAAAAATATGAAAAAAAGACAACAAAATAAAAAAAATTAAGACACCCATAAAAATATGTGCAAGTTATTAGACCTAGACCAATTTTTGAGCTGCAACATCATGAATATAAGGTTTAAAATGCATTTGCGTGATTTAAAATGTGTTTATGATCCTAAATCTAAAAAAACCACGGTGTACTCATGATGCAAAATAAACTTTCCCTCTATTAATAGATATAATCAATTATAAAATACAATATAATTATATGAATCAGAGGTATTTTGGTTATATTAAGAAATGAGATTAAGTTATCTATATAATCTAAGGGATCTTCACTGGTAAGCAAATTCCCTATTAACTAAAGTGAATCGTGAGGCATGAAGTTTGGGTTACCTTTCACATTGGGAATTGTAGCAAATCCCTATTAACTAGAGTGAATCGTGAGGCATGAAGTTTGGGTTACCTTTCCCATTGTGAATTGTTCATATAACGAAAATTTTGGAAAAATATGGTTTTATCTTTTATTTTTAATTTTTATATCTCACGAAATTCAAGAATTGAAAATATTATTTGTAAGTAAAAATTCTTCATCTTTTCTATCTTACAACCCTTGGATCCCTTTGACCATAAATTTTTTACTCAAACAAGCACTAAAATGGCACTCTAGTCAAACTACATCTCTCTCTTCGCTTCTCGATGAGTTTAAAAACCAAGGGATTTAACTTGAGCTTGAACACGAGCACACCTTTCTTATATGTGAGAGAGAGATGGAGTTTAGGTTTTAGAGAGAGATGGAGTATGAGTTTTAGGGAGAGAGATGGAGTTTTAGAGAGAGAGAGATAAAGTTATTTCATAAGTTGTTGAGATCAATAATACATGGTTGAAAAAGTTTAAGGGTTGGAAGATAGAAAAGATGGATTCTTTTTGCTTATAAGTAATATTTTTCAATTTTTGGGTTTGATGAGATATGGAAGTTAAAAATAGAAGATAGTAAGATATTTTCCCAATAATTTTTAGTTTACAATTGAATTGAACTCTTGGTCTTGTACTTTGATGGCATTTTTAAATTTTTCTTTTTATTTCTAGGGCATGTTTGTTTGGTGGAAGTTTCGGCTTCGGATGTGAAAACCTCAAATCCTGATGATTATGAAAGTTTCATGGGGTAGATAAGGGGCAGCTTCCAACTTTTCCCAAAAATCTTTAAAAGTTGCGAATTCCACCAATCAAACACATCCTAGGGTCAATCAAGGGGCACTAGATTGAATCTTGTCTATGATTTTCATATTAATTAATGGGTACGGGTTGTATAGAGCCGAGGCTCTAAACAAACAAATTAGAGCCTACCTTCAAATAGTGTGGTTTCAATATGGTTAATCTTTGATTAGCCTTGAAATATATGTTTATCTTTAATTATAAAATTTAAAGCTTCAAAAATAGTGTAGAACGAGAATATCTATGAAAACTTGAATAACTTAATAATTGACGGCCCAAAATGCCTTACAAGATGCACTATTTCCAAAACTTGAAATCTATTTTTTTCTCAAGTCCATGCATCTTGATGTGGAGATGATCAATTTGAGGATGTTTGAGCATCAAAACGATCTCTTCAAGCGAAATTTTCTAGGTAAGCTTTGATTTGATTGTTTAGAGCTTAGGCTCGGTATAAATTTTTCCCTTAATATTATGTTAGAAATTATATTTATGTATATTTGAGACTTAGGCTTCATGGAACTCTCTCTTTATTAGAAATTATATTTCAGTATATTTGAGACTTAGGCCTATTGATTGATTGATTACTAAAGAATATACCATATCTATATATTATGTACAATATCTGTATAAATATAGGATGAATAATAATTAAAGATAAATATCAACAGTTATAGATAACTACTAACTAATCTTATCATAATCAAGAGGCACCTAAAAGATATATATCCATACATATACATATCTCATTATATATTCATAACGATATATATCAATATAGATATACATACTCTAATACATTATTCAAGGCTTATATAAATCACTAATTCATTTTTAAACGAAACAAATCATCTAATCAGTTTAGAGACAAGCCGTGACATACACGTTATTGCATGTGCATTATTTCAATGAATTTAAGCAATCAAGACTCTTTGTTTTGTTTTTGTTTTTTTTTTTCTTTTCTTTTAAGTATCTGTATTTATTAAGGGCGTTATTTTAGTAGGGAACCATAATTCAGAATTTTTCTCTGTTTTTTTTTCGGAAATTACGTTCGGTGATATGTTCTTAGATTAACTTAACCGAAAAGATTTTGAAAAAGTTTATTGTGCATCCCCCAACAATGAGTCTGTGAATGGAAAGAATATACAATCCTGTCACAGAGTCCATCATATTTCATGGGTTTAGGATATGGAATATATTTTAAGTCACTCCAAACTGTTTTTGCATTTACTCCATGATTTTGCAACAAATAACGTGACAATTGATCTGAGAAAAATGACAATGACCTATCCAATATAAAGAGTGTGCAATATACGATGGTTTAAGTTTAGAATCCTTTTTTCTTTAAAGCAAATTGATAAAAATACACCGACCTTCTCGTCAGTTTAACAACTTAATTTTTTAAACTATTATATCTCACAGTCATGTGCATTTTGATAGATATTTTGATATAAAAACAAAAGATACGGATAAAATGTTAAATAATTGACCATGGGTATTCCGATAAATTTTTGGCTTTTTAAATTCGCATTCAAGGTGACCGAGATCACTGAGTTGCAATATTTCGGATAAAAAATTCATCTCAAGAGTAGTTAGGGAAGGGAACTACTCGAACCGTACAAAAATAATCGGAATTTTTTTTTTTTTTTGCCTTGATAAAATGTACTCTTAGCCGGTTATTGTAACAAATATAAAAAGGAAAAATATACAATGAGATCATTTACCTTTTGGTATAAGATGGTAATAATTGATTTTGACTATTGGATGTAAAATTGGATGGCTATATATTTATTCCATTGACAAAGCTCAAACTTCAAAAAAAAAAAAATTTGAACTTTTTGACACATCCAAGCTATCAAATTTCACATATGATAGTTGTAACTAATTGTGACATCTTTGTATCAAAGACAAATGGTCTCATTATATACAATCCCATATAAATAATTACAATATGTGAAAAATAAAACCAGGGATTTTTTTTTTGGGCATATCTGTATCGAATATAGGCCCCTATTTATTTTTAAAATAATTAGTAGTTTTTAATGTATTAGTGAAAATGAAAACCTAGGCCAATAGCCGAAGCTAACGTGGTCACCTCCAACCCATTCCCAAAACGAGGTATTTTTTATCACCTTTCTCTCCACCTTATTTTTGCCCTTTTGAATTTCTTTTTAAAATTTATTGGCCTATTTTTGTCTGTTCCTCAGTTTGTCACCACAAAACCGTTCCCTTCTCTTTTAGAACTACTTTTACCCCAAAAGAGTGGAGTAGTTGATTCTTAATAATTGGGATAAGAATCGGATGATAATGATAGACCCCCCTTTTTCTTGGAAGCTCCCATTGTTTTCAAATCTGATTTTCTTGATCTTTAAGAATGAAGACAATGGAAATATTTCCAAGCCTTATTTAATATATGGGTGTACATTTGAATTCTTGTGAAAAGCTGTTCTTATGAGGTTGACCATTTTAAAATAAGGAAAATGATTTGATAGGGCTGCAGTTTTATCAAAATAAGTAAAGCCTCACCTCATAACTCATCAAAATTGCAATTCAAGCATTGAAAAACATTTGCATCAATCATCTCGACTTGAACATTATAGTTGTGAAAAAAATTAGGATTTCAAGTTATAAAAATAGTGTATATTGTAAACAAATCATCTAACCCGTCCATCTCTTCCTAAATATAAGCATTCAAATATCGACAAGATTTATATATTTTTTGCATTTCAAATTTTTTTGTCGATGTTGAAAATTGATTTTAGAGTCATCATGGAGATTTTGATAACCGAAAGTATTATCTATACGAGAATTTGACGTGAGTCTTTATTTTGTTTGCATACAACCTAAGCCTTATAGAAACTTCATCCTTAAAATAAGGTATCCATAGAAGACTTTTTGCTCTAACCCATGTGAGAGGAAGTGAGAGAGAGACCACGTGAATAATTTGGACTTCAACTCTTAAAAGTTTAATAGAATTGATTGAAGTCAAGTCCATGCTCAACGACTTTTGTAATGACATGACATTGAGGAACTTCAATTCGATGAACTCAAAAACTAAGTTTAATATTTCCCCCATTGTTCTTGTTGCAAAGCTGGAAGTGGGGGCTTTAGTGAGCGCGCTAGGTGGAATGTGAGCTTTCAATCAAAAGCGAGCACGCTAGATGAAATGTTATCCCAATTGTAGGGGTCCGCATACGGGTTAAAAAATTGGACCCGGTAGGTTGGGTCCAGGTCCATGGACCTAAACACTATTTTGGGTTAGGGTCGGGGCCCATGTAAACCTGACCCGATTAATATTAATAGTAAAATATTATTTATTTAATATATAATATTTTAATATTATTTAAGTAATTTTTATTCTCCATCTTATTAATGTTAATATTTAAATAATATTTAATATATAATATTTTAAAAATATTTAAGTAATTTTAAAATAAATATATATAATTATTTAAATTTATATAATTTTTTTTTTTAGATCAGATCCAATCGGAACCGGACCCAACTCGATCCGTTGCTACCCCCACCCAATGTGCTAAAAGTAGCCATCACAGGATATGGGTCACATGTAACTTGGAGGCAAGGACCCCTTCACATGTGGGTCTGAAAAGCATGGTCCTTTGAGCCGTTTTAGTATCCTTTATTGTGTGGAACCCAATAAAGGTATTTCATTATGTGCTTATTGAAATGTGGGGCAAAAATATGTGGGAGATGACGTGTTCAACAAATAAAAAGTCGTTAGCGTGTTGGCCAGTGCGTTCACCCTTGATTTTCAAAGCTTTCAAGACTCAGAGATATATTCTAAATTAATGCAAATTCATTTATGTCTCAAATCAGTGAATTTAGAGCTCGAAAAATAGGGTAGATCTAATGATTTTTGAAAAAAAAAGAATGGTAGAAAGAAATATAAAATAAACTATTTGTAAGGCTTCATATCCTTTATTCTTTATCGGATTCATTGTCATGGTCATGGGGGTTAAGATAATGATGATGATCATATCTTCATAGCTTTTTTCCAATTAATCGGGATCGACTACAAAAATCCTAGTCCATCATTTTACTCTATTTAAAGTCATATCTTCATGGCGATTGAGATGATAAACCACTAAAATTTTGGATCCAAAATATGTGGAAATGTATTTTAGAATAGATGCATTCCTAAATGTACATAAACCCCTACTAGATAAGTGAGGCTGCATCTACCATCGATCCAATTAATGATCGGAGGGACGTGATATAGAGCGGGACACAATCGCCATGTGGAGGGTTCCACTCTATTCACATTCATCCAATTTTTGGCACTAGCTCTCACCTTCCACACCTGGTGAACCTAGTTTATTAGATTATTACCCAAAGGGTGCGGTTTGTATAAGGTTGCAACCTTAAACAATCCAAATAAGATGCACCTCCAAATTTTATCATAAGATGTAAATTTAGTATAAAAAATTATTAGGGTTGCCTTATAATTCATTTTCATCTCTAATTATGAATTTTTAAACTTAAAAAATAATTCAAATCAAGTAGATCTATAAATACAATAAAATTTTGAAAATAGACTGTCTAGATAATGTTTTGCAAAGTACACTGTTTTTGGGACTAAAATTCTTTATTGATTTACATACTCATATATCTCGATATTGAGATGATCAATTAGAGGGTTTTCAAACCTCAAAACAACCTTTTCAAATGAATTTTTGAGATGCACCTTAATTCTACATTTTAAGATTGCGAACTTATATAAACTCTTTCCTTACCCAAATTATTCAAAACAAAATTACATAAACAAATACAAATAACTAAATTTGAGTCGTCCAATTTCCCATCACCCATGGGTGGCCCTGGGTTCATTTTCAGCCTTTCCTTTTCCTTCTTGTCACGGAGAGGTAGGTCGGTGGGCATTTGGGTTGTAAGGACAAAACAATAAGCCAAGATGCCCATGTCGGGTCAACTTGGACATGACAATGATAGACAATTTTGTTATTTTGTTTTATTTTTGGCTTGCCTTCCACTAGTTTTGATGGGCCCCAATAGTTAAAGCTCATGATGAGCTTGGGCCTAAATGGGGGTGATAGCATCCCCACACCCTAGTCACTACTTTGTGGTTTTTTGCAGTTTTTATTGCCAATGACATCACCCTATTAACACTTAAAAAAACCTAACTCCTAAACTATTTCAAAGAAAATGAGCAGGGCCTATCTTCCAATTACCCCAAAAAAAAGAAACAAAAAACAAAAAAGCTTAGGCCTACATTGTTTTGATAGTTGAGCTTTAGATCAACCAGCTTTAGATCAACCAGCCCAGACAAATTCAAGAACATCCAAGTTCATATTTATTGACCCCAAAGCATAAAATGCATAAATTCAAATCAACATAATATAGGATACATGTAACAAGGGGTGGAATTTAGGTGCCTTCAAACAATATGCCACATTTTTTCTTTTCTTTTGTTTTTGGTCGAGTTGGTAAATATACTTTGATCAATATGTCATATTACCAATAATCCCGGCAAGAACACTCTCCATCCATGAAACAATGGAACCGATTTCGATCTCGTAACACTATTTGGCGACCGCTGACTCTCGAGACGAGTTTTAAAGCGACATGGCAGTCCCTACACACCCTAAGGTTCTTCATGATCCTTATCGGCTTTCCGGGTGGTGCGTTCATAAGCCCGAAAACAACAGCTAATTTCTCGCTGTGTCGATAGAGAGAGTGCTCCTTCTCCTCTTCCTCCATATCTAACAACACCAGAGAAGTGTCCGGAACATAGCCCTCAAGCTTCAATTCTTGTGCTAATTGCTCCCATCTCTCATATATTTCCTTGGCTTGAGGGTGTGATCCATCTCCAGCCAAAAACTCATGAACAATTCCATCTACCACAATTGAACTACACCCTGGTGTTTTCCTTATTCCTCTCTCTTTCATCAACCTTCTTACTCTAGCTGCATCTTCCCATCGATCAGCAGCTGCATAGATGTTAGAAAGAACCACATAGTAACCATCATTTTGAGGCTCTAGCTCAAGCAAATGCTTGATGACCTCTTCACCCATCTCAACATTCTTGTGAACTCTACATCCTCCTAACAGAGCTCCCCATATCGCACCACTAGGCTCGATTGGCATCGTGTCTATGAACTCACGAGCTTCTTTTAGGAGGCCGGATCGACTAAAGAGATCGACCATGCACCCATAGTGCTCTATTTCGGCCTCCAAGCCATGGTCCCTAACCATGCTGTCGAAGAGCCTTAGCCCCTCTTCCACTAACCCCATATGGCTACATGCATGCAGAATACCAACAAATGTGACCCTGTTAGGCCTCACATTTTCCTCTTTCATCTTATCGAAGAGCTTGAATGCCTCCAAGCCATGACCATGCACGGCTAGACCCATGATCATGGTCGACCATGAGACGACTGTTCTTTTTTGCATTTCGTAGAAGACTTCTCGAGCCTTGTCTAAACATCCACATTTCACATACATATCAATCAATGTGTTACAAACGCGTATATTCGAACAAAATCCTCTTCTTTTTATATACAAATGAAGCTTTCTTCCTAGGTCTAGTGCTCCCATATCTGCACAAGCCGACAGAACACTGACCACTGTAACTTCATTAGGCCTAACCTTTGCTTTCTCCATTTCATGAAACATGTTTATTGCCTCCTCAGGTTTGCCTAGTTGAGTGTATCCTGCAATCATGGCCGTCCATGAGGTCACGTTTCTCTCACCCATTTCATCGAACAAATGGCGCCCTGCCACGTAGTCTCCAATTTTAAAATTATGGGTTATCATGGTGTTATATGTTATAACATCTCTTTGATCCATTTTATGAAATATTTGGTTTGAAGCACCCATTACTCCACAACATGCGTACATATGAATCAATGTGTTTTGCACAAATATGTCCGGGCCAAAACCAGATTTCAAGACAAAACCATGAATGATTTTGCCTGTATAGAGAGACAGTAGGAGAGAACAAGCCTTTAATACAAAAGAACAACCAAATGTGTCTGGTAAAATGTCATGGAACCTTAATTTTGTGAACAAGAGGATTGCTTCTCTTGGGTTATCACCTGTTGCTAAGTCCTTGAGTATAGAATTCCATATGATTATCTCTGGCTTGTCGACGCTTTCAAAGATCTTTCGAGCGTAATCAAAGTTGTTAGAGAGAGAAACTGGGGTAGAGAGAGAACATATGTGACCAACTTTGTTTAATGGGAGAATTGTAGGAGAGAGATTGTTTTTTATGATGTGAGAGTGGACTTGTTTGAGCTCAAATGGGGCCTTGAAATTATAGAGAAGATGGGTTACATGATCTTCTGAATCTGTGTTTCTAGGGGATTTCTCATGGGTTTTGTCGGTTTTTTTTGGGTTTTGATGTAGAGGGGAAACGGTGGGGATCTGAGTGAAGGAGAAAGAAGCAGCCATTGGGCTGCTAAGAAGGTAATTTTGTGGCCAGTGATTTAATGATGGTAATATAATATGAGGCCATAGCTACGGCCATAATCATTGGGCACCATCCAATCCAACTATGGGATGGTGATAAGCCTAATGACCGTTATAGAACATTTGTCCGCACTATTAAGGTAATTTTCTTTCTAAAATTTCCCATTGCCCCCTAAATATTTAGTTTAAAAAAATTAGGAAAATTATCAAAAATATACTTTAATTTTTAGTAAATTACAAAAAAAAAAAATCTTATATTTTCATAAACCTCTTCCACTCGTTTTTTTTCTCATTTTTTGTAACTTTTTACCAAAATAACCTTCACGATAGTCGTATTACTGTATGGCTATTGCATTTTATACGATATTTAAAATATTGTAACAACGTGAAGTACAATTATGGTAGTCAAAATACCGTAATGACTAGAGCATTTTAAAATGCCTTATCATCACGGTACTTTAAGTACCATAGTGACTACTACATCTTATACAAATTTAAAATTAAAGCCTTATTACGGTACTCAAAATATCATAATATTATCATATCTTGTACCTGTCACACCCCAAGAATTTACAATACAGATATTCTTGAGATGTGACAGTGCAAAACATATATACAACTCTTGATAGGACAAATTTACAGTGGCGAGGTCTTACAAAGTAAATAAAGAAAGCTAGCACAACAACAGTATCTTCCAAGGTTGATATTGACTAGCACTCAAAATGAATCCGCAGTTATCCTGAAAAAATGTTTACCATAGTTTGATGAGTTTGGCTACTCAGTAAGTGATCATCATAATCCTAAAAAATAATCATGGTTGAAAGATATCAATATTTTCAAAAAGAATATCTATTAACAGAAATGCATCAACAGTTTCACTTTCAATAAATGCATAATTAAGTATAATCCGAATAATTGAAATGCTTATAACACTTTTAACGGCAGTGCCTAATTCAAAGGATTTCACAAAATACCTTACTGGCGTCCCAAGTAGGTCACCTATATACCCCATCAGCGTCTTGATGGTTCCACTTAATCCCTATCGGCGTCCCAGATAGGTCCACTTAATCCCTGCAGGTCCACTTATACCTCACCGACGTACCGGATGAGTCCACTTAATCCCTATCGGCGTCCCGGATAGGTCCACTTATACCTCACCGGCGAACCGGATGAGTCCACTTGCATACTTAAATTATTTCTAAATCTCTTTAAACATTCGAAAGCAGCAATATCATGTACTCAATATATCACTGAAATCATTAATATGAATCTCACTGACACCATTAATAACAGTCACTTTCAATAACATTTCAACCAATCAAATATTTTGGGCTCAAATTTAGAAGGTGGCAGTTCGTAAAGACATTCTAGCATAATTGTCAATATAATATGTATAGAAAAACTCTTATAGAAATTCAAGAATACGGAATTATCACAATTTATGGGATGTTAATTTGCAATTAAACATTTCACAACAATACTATAATCAAATGCAAAAATATCATTTTTCAGATAATAAGGCAATCATTTGTACATGAAATTTACAATGTCTAAATATTTTAAAACAGTAGAAAGAAATCTCACAATTTTACTAAAAGCAGAAATATCACATTTATTTCTAATAATTTGATAGTATCTAAAATTTTCTAACAATAGACAAGAAAAATAAATAAATTTATTTTTCAAAGAATTTACAGCATTTAAAATTTCTAACATAGATAAAATATCACAATTTTTATTAAAAATATTATTTTTCAAGATAATGAGGTCGTGTGCGCATAAAATTTATCGCACCTAAAATTCATGATCATAAGCAGAAATAAATATTTCATTTTATTTTTAAAAAGAATGGATTATTTTTCGAGACAATGAAGTACTTACACACAAAACTTATAAAATAAAGATCCTGGACGGAAATATCACTATTTATTAAAAACAGACTATTTTTCAGAAAGACGATGTCACTTACATAAAATATTTTGTGAGAGAGCTTCCGATAAAAATTCGGCTAGAGAGAGAGAGAGAAACCTCGCCTCTCGTATTTAAACTCTTACAACACCTTATAAAAAGAAATATTATTAAGTTACACCTCATTCACGAGGTGTAACGTTTATATTACCTCTTATACACTTAAAGCCCACGTCCACTGAACGTGGCAAGGCAGCAGCAAACAAACAAAGTCAAACTAAAAGCTTTGAAAATGGTGATGGTCCCTAAGGACTATCATGCTCATATGGACCATCACTTATTAAAAGTTTATTTTCTTTGTTTTTTTTTTTTTTGAAAGTTTAAGATTGTTACAGTACCCCTCCCAAACCTTTTATATTTTTGGCATTTTAGGGTGGCTCTCTTTATTCTGCGTATCTTGTGCATAATTTCTTGAGGCCTTTACTATCTGGCACTCAATCTCTCACGGGCTCTCTTTCTCCCTCATTTGCCTCATATCATTAGATTTCTCCTTTGAGGTAATAAATGTTTCCCTTTGTTTTTTTTGTTAGCAAGTTTCAAAGAGTACTTTATAGCATTTCAACCAACTTAGAATTTACTTTTCTAAGAATTTACTTTTTCTAAAAAAATAGATTTATTTTTCTAAGAATTTACAGCATTTAAAATTTCTAACATAGATAAAATATCACAATTTTTATTAAAAAGATTATTTTTCAAGATAATGAGGTCGTGCGCGCATAAAATTTATCTCGCCTAAAATTCATGATAATAAGCAGAAATAATTATTTCATTTTATTTTTAAAAGAATGGATTATTTTTTGAGACAATGAAGTCATTTACAC